GCTGACAGCTCCCTGGGGAGCGGGCCTAAGCCACAGTCTGGCTTCCTTCTGTGGGAGGCAACCGTCAATCAGGGGAAGATGCCACTCCATCACTCCGCTGCTGCTGCCACTGCCAGCCGCCACAGCTGTGAGGCCTGAGCCCACTGCTGCCTGAGCCCGGGGCCTCGCAGCCACCACCTGTCACTGCCATGGCTGCCTGCCTTTGGCCCTCGCAACCACTGCAGCTTTGTCTGAAAGGACACCTGGAAGGACGTCCAGAAGACGTCTGCTCTAATTAGCATATTACCCTTTTATTAGTATAGATGTCTCCATTTATTTATTTGTAAAATGAGAATACCAATACTTACCTCATAGAACTATAAGGATTAGGTGAGATACCTGAAAAATTACTTAGCACAGTATCTAGCAAGTTATTAGTGCTCAGCAAGTACAGAAGTTATGAGTAAACACTGACTTACAGAAATGTAGTGGTAAGATATGGCTGACAATGTGAGGAAGCCTGAACCTGTCCCTGGATCATCTTCTGGGGCTGTTCAGGGGACACTCTGACTCAAAGGTCATTCAAACAGACATTTATTAATTACCTATAGTATGTGCAAGGCAATGTTACAGTATTTTGAAGGAATATGATAACAGGCAAGGCCTGCTATCTAAGGGGCAAAGTTACCTTCTATTAATCTCTAGCAAACAACTGGGTTTAGAGGTTTAGGAATTGCCAGAGTTTCCAAAAGCAGGAGAAACACAGCACTCAGGAGCCCAGGCCAAGGAACTCCAAAGTCCCAGCCATCAGACAGTGCCTGTGAGGCTCTGGTTCCAGGACTGGGACAGGAGGGACGAACAGAGGCAAAACTAGATGAAGGGAAACCTGGGAGTCTGGTGATCTCATCCTGATGCGAACTTGAAGAATTAAAGTTGTCCAATGTGAGGATGTGGTAGCAGGAGATTAGGAGGCCTTAGGCTGTGAGTAGAAGCTCAACGTGATTGGAATTGGTTGCTTGGGTTCAGCCTATTCTGGGAGGCCTTGGGCTCAAGGCTGTGAGTAGAAGCTCAAAGTGATTGGAATTGGTTGCTTGGGTTCAGCCTATTCCATGTGCTGAAATGCCAGGAAACCACCACTCACCACCAAACAAACCCAGAAGACAATAAACCTCGAGGTCTCTATCAAAAATAATTAGTAAGGAAAAATTAGAAAAGTTACCAGGTTCCTGAAGTTTAAGAGCTTCTAAGTCCAGACTTTCATTTTCCCTGAAAAATAACTGGAACTTTTCAAATGTAGCTGCATAGAGTTGGGCAGATTCAAATGCTGCCTTTATGGTTTCCTAAATGTTATAAATAAACAGAGAAATACAATTTTATTTTTCCTGAGCAGAATTCAATTCAATGTAAATAAACAAACAAATACAAATGCCTGCTCTGGGTCCAACAATATGCTTTGACCTGGGGATATGCAAGTGAGGGAAGATGCCATCCTACAGGTCCAGGAGCAGAGGCTAACGAGTCTCTTACAAAGTTAACATTTTTTAAAATCTTTGAATCTGTTTCTTATGATTGTAAGAAAGAAAACTGGGAATTTTTTAGCTTCACAGTGAACTTACACATCACTAATAATCATATGGCAAGAGAATGTCTGTTTCCAAATTGCAAATGTTATATCTCAGTTGAAGTGTTTTTGAGCAAAGGCAAAAGTGTTCAGCATATCTATAGAATGAATGGCTTAATCTTACTGTGAGGTCCTCTGTAGTGGCCAGGCTTATTCCAAAATCTCTTTCATAATTTCCCCTAATAAAACCCTTTCCTTCACTTAAACTTGGCTACAACCACCTCGTCCCCACAAAATTTCTTCAAATCAAAACAATAATTTCCCATCATTTCAGTCCCTTATTACCTGTGTCAATATATATGATCATAGTTCAATGCCTGTGAAAGGCAGTTAGCCTTGGTCCATGACTCTCTGGCTGCACTCCATAGCTTTCCCTTATTTTTCCTATCAAGATTTTTTTTGCAAATGACTACAATTTGTCCCAGGGAAAACTAGAGGTAATCAATGGAATTGCTCATTCCCAATATATCCAGGCTAGTCATGCTTTATGGAGAATGGCTAGTAGTAGAAAGTTTAATGACATAAAAGAGCACACACCCCATATGGTTACATTTAGCTATTTGTTCATTTATTTCCTTTTAATAGGCTCTTATCTATTCTTCTACACTCTTT